CATGAAGGTTGGCTATAGAGCATTTTTCAAATTCAGTTGTTACTTATATTATATAAGAATTTCTAAAACGAAAGAAATATTAAAGCTTTTTTTTTTATAGTTAGATCTCTAGTAAGTGAGTTTGTTCTAAAGATTAATAGTTAGATTGTAGTTGTTAGACAAAGCTTATAGATTTTAATATTGATAAAAATTGAAACAGGCTTCAACTTTTGTAATCTAATAAGTAAAACTAAAAGACTTGTCAAAACTAATGAAAGATAGGTTTGAGTTTTGTGCACTTTTTATTTGTAGTTGTTTACTATTAATTTATTTATATTAATATAATTTTTAATTTTCTTGTTATTATTTATTGTTAGCAATTTAGTTCTTTTTATAAACACGTATCTAATTGATCATTTAAATTTTAAAATTTAAGATATCGAATTTTTTTAAATCTATTAGATTATACTATATATATGATAATAACTATCAGATTAAAGTAATAATTATTGTAATAATTAAATTTAAATAAATGTATCTTTTATACCAGTACGATCACATTTTATGTGTAACATGAAATGTGGTAGGGATGGTTTCCTTCAACTTTTTTGATATTGCTTAACCTGTTTTTTATGAAATCTTTTTTTGGCAGGAGTTAAGATTTTTGTTTCTCTGGATTAGAAAAGGGATATGATTTTTTATTTGGGTAATCATTATTGTGTAGATATACGTGTAGCATATATGCGTGCACTCGTGATAGCGTGCAAATATAATACTGTAATATCAACATGTGGTTGGGCGTAAAATGTATGACATCAGATGCGATTATTATGATTGCATTTTATTATTATTATGGTTTAATTTGGTAATTCGGGTGTGAATGTTATTATCGTTTGCAATAATTGTGTGGTTGAATTTTGATCTGCGGTGAGATGGGCTTCGGTATAGGTTGTATGAGGTGTAAAGATCGATGAAACTTGTGTTAAGAGGGAGTTGATATACAAAGGAAATAAGGATATAGATACTTTAGAACAATGTTCTAATGTCATGTGAACACGTGGTTTATTCAGATTAGTGATGTAATAATTCTATCATTGGTTTAAATGTGATAATACTGTATGTAGTAAAATTATGAATAGTTAATATTATTATCGTTTGCAGTGATTAAGTAGTCAAAATTTGATCCACTGTGAAATAGGCTTCGGTACAAGTTGTGTGAGGCATAAAGATCAAAGAAACTTGTGTTGAGATGAAGTTAATGTATGGAGGAAGTAAGAATATTAACACTTTAGAATAAAGTTCGTATGTCATGTGAACACATGATTTATTTAGATTAGTGATGTAATAATTCTATCATTGATTTAAATGTATTAATACTGTACATAATAAAATTGTAAGTTAGTAAATATTGTTATAATTGCGTAGTTGAATTTTGAACTGCGGTGTAATGGGCTTTGGTGTAAGTTGTATGGGGCATAAAGATCAAAGAAACTTGTGCTGAAGAGAAGTTTATGTATGAAGTAAATAAAAATATTTAATGCTTTAGAACAATATTCGAATATAATCGATCACATGTTTTATTCAGATTAGTAATGTAATAATTCTATCATTTACCAAGAAGAAAAGTGTGATCAGTGAATGTCGGGAGTTGAATATTGCATGAAAAAAATTGTAATATGATTGATGTAATTTATTTGGAGTCAAATAAAAGGTATATAAAATATGTAAGAAAAAAATAAAATAAAATTCTTACCACTTTCATTCTGAATAAAATACTGATAAAATCGAGAAGAGTATTGACACTGTATTGAAATGTTGGGATTAATCAATCTGCTGCTATTGATAGTTAAAGACCACGACAACAATGTATATAAAAAATAATTTCGTGGTGTCATTATACTATAACAGATGCTTAATTGAGTTACTTTCTCTTTTTTTTTTAATTTATTGTTATAGCAAAAACGGAATTGATATTCAACGATGTAAATATAATTTTTAAAAAATTTTGAAGTTATCAAATGAGATGTACTGATTTTTTGGTATTTAGAGATGACTCTTTGGATTCTGATAGTTATAGATCGAAGCGTAAATGACAAAAGGCTAATAGACAATTACATGCTATTTATCGCCAGCATGAACGAGAACAACAACATAAATGATGTGAAATTCATCATACAAAAAAACGAAAAATTTGTGTAGAAAAGGATATTCAAGCAGCAGAAGTACAGATTCCATTACATATTCTGGAAATGAATGAAAAATTTGATATGTAAAGAGAACAATATTTAGATTGGCCCCGACTGATTAATAAGACTGATGCGAATAGTGCGTTGGCAAAATTTTGTGAAAATTTTGATTGTAAGATGCTTAAAGAGTTGCATTGTGCAGTCTGCTCCAGTTTATTTTCATATGAACACTTAACTACCATTACTATGCAAGAAATATACTTACTTTCGCTTGAAACTAATAAATATTTAGAAAACCCAGTTTTTGAAATTGACTTTATGTATGAACATCCCTATATAGACAGAAGTGGCTGTAAAATTTTGTTGGATAGAAACGGATTTTTAAGAAAGATATAAATGATGATAAAGATTCATTAAATCTTTGTGTATGCTATGGTTGTAAACGATCAATGAATGCGGGCAGTACTCTGAAACTTTCACTAACAAATTTGTGGGTCGAAACAACTCCACCATGTCTCCAGGAATTAACGATACCAGAACAACTGATGATATCCACAGGTTATATATGTGTTAATATTATTTAACTTACTAACAGAAGACATCCACATCACAAGTTAAAAGGCCATGTAATTACATTCGCACAAGAACTGACTTCGCTTACTACTATCTTACCCTTGCCTGAATATCGATTATGTGATTATCTAAAAGTTGTATTCATTGGGCAAGAACGACCATCAGAAGAACAATTAAAAAAAGTATTACGTGTAAGAAAAGATAAGATCGCAGTGGCTTTGAAATAGTTACTGGATCACAACATCCTCTACAAAAATATTAGACTTGACAGATCAACATTAGAATCTTTACTGAAAAATAATGTACCTACTGCTCTATTGGCAATGACAGTAATGGTCAATATTGATCCCAGAAAAGCGGAATATTATACTAGATATACGATGAATTCGAGTGATGAGAAAGATGCTGATAATGATTCAGATAATATAGATATGGCAATATACGACAAAGATTTCTTAGTATATCAGACACGAAATCAAACCCACTATGTGGTGTATTACCGTTATCAATAGGTATGAGAGTAGCTCTAACAGTAAATATTTCCACTAATGATGGTATGGTAAATAGAGCCCAAGGTATAATTCGCAAAATCGTATATAATAATGAATCATCAATAGAAGAAAGTGTAAATGCTAACCAAAATAATTTTATCGAGATTAACAAACCTCCAATGTATGTAGTAATAGAACTCTTAAATCACAAACCAGGATCATATAATAATCTACCGTTGAATCATGTACCAGTTTATCCAAATAAACGAAAATGTAAATATACACATAATATAAAAAATGGGTCAAACATAACAGGGGAATTTCAGAGAACACAGTTACCTATCACTCTGGCGTTCGCACTCACAGAATTCAAATAAATAATTGTAGACTTGGATGGTGGAAAAATTAGAGCAGGTACCTATGTGATGTTGTCTCAAGTACAGAAACTGGAAGACATCATGTTACTTCGACTATTCAGCAAAACTAAACTCAATTTGAAAATCGATCCTGATCTTAAAAAGGAACTAGAATGTTTTGAAAATTGCTCAAAAATAACTGAACAATTACTTATATAATAGGAATAAGAATAGTATACAAATTTTACACCAATTAAGCCTATTATTAAACTGCATATTAAATTTATAAATTTTGAAATAAATTTATGTTTAAAAAAAATAAAAATTCGATAAATTAATGATAATAATAAAATGAATTCAAAACAATCACATGGGTAAAACAATGAAAACCAATACTTAAATAAATACATATACACATAAATAAAAATCAAAAACATCATAAACAGCCAAAAAAAAAGAAAAAAAAAAACGTATAAGTTCCTAATTTAAAAAATCATATTTATTCAACTTAAACACATATACAAACTAAAAAATTCGAATCACACTACATAACTAGTTGGAAATTTTTAACTACATAGAATAAGCATAAAACAAATATATAAATAAATATTTGCATGTAAAAAAAAAAAAAAAAATCATATAAACTCGCTCCAATCGAAATTACTATTTACGCGTAAAAAATCCCAATTCAATATCTAATACTCTCCGCCATCTGTACTATTATTTATGCCTTTAAGCATCTCAGATCGCTTTTTGGTATTATGCACAACTGAAGAATTCAATTCCCTCTTATTTGCCTTTCTACAACTGTGTCCTGGTTTCTTACTTCCATTAGTTACACTTTCTTCCAAGTCATTACTTTCTATGTATTCCTTATCATGATCAAACTCATCTGAAATATAATCAGAATCGACATGATTAGGATCTTCATCTTCAACTCTAACACGTTTAGACGAATAAGAATTAGATGTAGATGACTTGGCTATAGCTTGATTCATTTCTCGTATTTATCGTGATTTTCTGCAACAAACTCTTTAAACGAGCTCTTATTCGAATTTTGGTAAACAGCCAAAAGTCTCGATCAAACTAACTTATATAACCCCGATGAAGATTGAAGATCATTCGAACTAGTAACCTTTTTCCTACCCAAAAAAGAAACATCAATATAAGAAGTCTCAACCGCATTCGCGTATAAATCATTCTGAATAACTTCCAGCTGTCCAATGACAAAAAGAACCGAATCATTTGGATGAACAGTGCTCATCAGATACTTGAATCGACTATTATGGTGCAGAAATACAACTCTGACAGCAAAAGAATTATTCTGGCCAACATAATCTTTTACTAAAACTCTAAGTATCATATTTTCTTCGATAACTTCTTGTGCTGCGTCCTGAATAACACCAACTAACAAAACCTTTAACAGACATCTATTAGAACCAGGATCCCTTCTAATTGCAAGATGCGTAGACGAAGCAACGGTCATCTAAATAAAAAAAAAAACAATAAAATCAACTCTACTTCAATTCGCAATACACGATGCAAAAAAAAAAAATAAATAAATAACTATAACCTTTAATCTCAAATTGCCATTATAACTCCCGGGAATAACCTTCCCACCCACACTGTAATATTCATTCTTTACAAAAACAGATTGAGTATTAGGATCTTGCTCATATTCAACCATTGGAATAAATAGAACCATCTCAATTTCTCAATCTTCGCTCTCAACAGGATAGACACCTATCGCCACACAACAGTTAACTTCGATTCTTCTTTATCCGACTGATGAACTTGGCTAATTTTGACAATAGTATCAATGTAACAAGGCATTGTGAAGATCACGAATGTAAAAAAACATACTAACATTCAATAACAAACCTCTTCTCCATTTATATAACATAGCGCCTAAACAACATAATCATCATAATGACTACATCTACGCCAAGAAAAACATTAAAAAAACTATAACCAGCAAATTACAAACAAATCCAAATAAGTAATAAGCATAATCAATAATAGCGAATAACAAACTAGTGCTGTGATGGTAACTCATATTAATAAGTGCCGCCTCTAGTAATATATAACAATCTTCACCATTAGATAGTATAGACTTACATCACAATAATACATTCAAACCTTCAATTACGTACACAGAAGTAACAAACTAACGAAAGAAGTCCCTGAAGTACAGACCTAACAAAAACTAAAATCGTCTCAAAAAAAAAAAAAAAAATATATATATATATATATACCACCCAAGATGCATAAATTTAAACGAAAAATAGAATACAGTAACCATAAATATCGACCACATTAAAAAAGCATAAAAATAAAAAAAAAATAAATATTAACACTGAGTACCACACGAACTATAACACGCTCACCAGATCGTACTGGTTCTGCGCTGTGTCACACACTGTGCAGCTATCCCTTATTCAATTAATACTGTAATATTTTGTGAAATATTTTACTTTGGGTTTTGTTCTTTCGTTCTTGGTATAAGTCTATTATCCAATCAGATCTTGTAAAATCATGAAATGATCTACAAAAATTAGCCAATCGGAATGAAAGCCCGCTATTCTGACCCGCCCGGGTCAGTATTTTCTAATCTGAGTAAGATCTCTAGATATGATTAATATTGCTTGCTACAAACATGAAGTGCGACTTATTTATTGCACCACTAGGGTTGCAACTTATCGTCGCAATAGAATGTGACATCGGTAACAGTGTTAATTTTTCAATTAAAATTTGCTGTGCAGATGCCACACAATCTATAGATCTTTCTATGCGGCAAATAAAAAAAAACGAGAAACTATTTGCAACTATGCGCACTACTTGCAAAATGCTAATTTTTCTGTGCGGCATCCGCACATCTATTCAAAAAAATTGTGCGCAAAATTTTGTTACAGTTCGCACAGTGAAAAATTATCACTGATTGGTAATATAACATTTATGATTTATTTTATAATAATTACAACATAAATAAGCTGTAAATATTAAGTTGCGACTTTGCAGCAGGCAACACTAGATATGATTATACGTACTAATCTCACTAATTCTTAAGCTAGGTAACCTGCTTGAATTCTAAATTCGTATAATCCTATTCTGAATTAGTCAATACAATTCATACAATTCAACTCATTAATCTGAAGGATTCAAATTTGGGGTACAACATTACTAGTACGCAAATATATCAGATAGTTTTATTAGATTTTTTTAACTTGATTACATTTGTTATAACTATGATAGGTCAATACATGCTTTAAAACTTAACTATGCAATTCCAACGACAACATTCTTTTCGTGTTGCAACTCCACCAAATTATAGACCTTTACCGGGCTTATGACTTTAAGATTCTCATAGGAACTTGCACATCAATATTGAATTTTGAATTGCCCACAACGCTAGCTGATAATCTTTAAAGAACCGAATTTCATTTTACATTTTATGACATCGGAAAATAAAGTTGTAT